TCAAATGCTTCCCAGACCGATGAGGCACGACGGTTGCGAACCAGACCCATGCGAGGAGCCGTGAGCTAGATAGGAGACACGGCTACAGGAACTCCACAGTCCTCATCCCCGGGAGACCTCGTCCCCCGCAGTATCAGCGAAAGGTAGGACGGTTTTCCGGGGCTCCAAACACACCAGGACGCTTTCATTGCTATCCGGTAATATGAACAATGCGGAATTGAAACACTCGTTTCCTCAGCCAAAAGATGTAGACGGACAAACTCAAACTGCGAGTTCTCGACCATCGAGATATCCGAGATCTGCGACATTACCCTCTGTTGATCGCAGTGATGGTATAAAACCCGCGAATGCACGCTGCGCCGCCCCTGCCACAGCAGAACAAAAAGCCCAGTGGCGCCGCACTTTGCCACCAATCGCTCAAGACGTGACCGCAGAGGTACTTATGAAAACAGGTCGACAAATGGCCTCGGATTTCAGAGAGGGCCTGTGGACGTTCATTGAAGACATCAGACAGGCTACAGTTGGAGAGGAGGGAATCAACGGCACGGAGTCCCGGTCTACCGCACACGCCGTGCAGTCTGGCCAGCGGGGAACTTCAAAGAGGGATGACGGATCGGTAGCCTTGACAAGGACGGGAAGATCCACAACCCCGCGGGGCAGAGTGACAAATGCAAATTCAACATCCGGTAATGATTCAACGTCAAAAGCTCAAGAGATATCATTTTGGAGTGAATTCGGCATTGATACTCCTGACCAGAGGACAACAAAGTCCCCCCAAGACGCCGAAAACCCCAGCTGCCCCAGCAGAGGCAAACAACAGCCCCAGCAGGGGCAAGATCCAGAAGACTCGAACCTTCTGGACGCAGATGAGAATTGGGATATGTGGGATACCCCCAGCCAATCGAAGGCTTCGCACACCCCGTCTTCCAGCAGCTCAACGTTCCATTCTAACCGAGACCACTCTCCATCCACCGATGCCAGCAGTCCGAGCACTAGCTCAAGGTCAGTCAATTAAAACCTCGAGTCCTGTCTAACTACGTGGAGATTTTGCTTTCCACCCCTTCCTTGTTTGATAGCAAATCTAACAATCTAATAGTTTCACGAACCACACATCGCCGACCACTAAGGACGAGCAAAGCGCAGACTCCAACAAGACTAGATCAGACAGCATCCCGTGGCCCGCGCTCAGCAAATTGCACCCGTCCAAGCTTACGCGGACGGCATCCCACCTAATGGCGGAGTGGGAGCGAAGCCTCACTCCCCCAGAAGAGCGACAACAACAACAACAAGCAACTGAAACCAACGGGGTTAGCATCAGGGGCGCGAAGGAAGACTAATGGTTAATGGTTAACGTGTCTCTTATGTCTATTTGACTTTTTTTTGGTTCTTTTTTCATTGTTTGCTCTTTCCTATGTCACCCCTTTAATGAAATAACCTGCCCATATTCCGCCGCGGTTTACACCTTGTACAGAACTTGTATATAAAAAAAAAGACTCCACGCGCACGAACCACAAACCCAAGCCATCCGATGTTACTTGTTAACCTTCTTTCTATGAATATTTTTATAAACTACCCACGAGGCCCTTTACTTTACACGAATCAGGCAACACAATGAAGGAAATGGAGAAAAGAAGGAGGGAGATGCCTAATTTTCTCTGTCCATGTAGATATATACACGGGTCGCCTTCTATATAACGTGGTCCATTCATTTATTTTCTATCTGTGATATCTTCTTACTTATTTTCTACTTTCTACTTTCTACTTTCACCATTACTTTCCCCAAAAGTTTCCCAGTTTCATCTTCGATTCCCTCCCACCCTTACTTCCTTGATTTCGGTGGCGCGTTGAGCTTTGCCTAGATTCTATGTGTATATTGTATATTGGTTCAGGTACAGTGAGCTTGATGTTGGACAAAGTTGGTACATGAGTTTGGGGAGGTTCTATTTGTTTCCCTTCTGTATATATATTTATGGGAAGTATTTTACCCGGAGCTTTAATTTAATGATGATGATAGATTGTCACTTTCTTGCCCTATCCTATGCTGCCGTAAATAACACGTGACATTTCGTCATATGCCCGTCCACTCCGCCGTAATCCCCGAAGGCTTGGCATCAATACTTTTTATTTTTTTCCGCGGCGGCTCGACCAAGCAACCTGGACGAGCAGCTCGAGGTAAATATTACTTACTATTCTTACCTGCGCCTGGGTCTGGATAACGGAGAGAAGGCAATTATACAGCCAGCTGTATATCTCTCTCTTGTAATCTTTCTCTACTCTCCTAATCTATCTGCCTATCTTATAATATCCTATCCCTCGTTACTCACATACCATACAGAATCGAAAAAAAAAAAAAAAAAAACCAAAAAACCAAAACCCGGACAACCATTCTCAAAGTACCCGGCAAAGATAGGATACCGGATACCCCAGCGAAAACGGCCGGAGGATAGGATCTGCTAAACACCCCAGTCCGATCGGGGGTAGCAAACACAAAATACAATATACATAATCATAATCACAATCACGCACGATGAGTTTCCCAGGCTTCGGCGGGGGTAGCTCCGCGGCCGCGTCGACGGTGGCGGCGGGAATGGGGATTGGAGGAGCCAGTACGGCGGGGATGAGTGGCCAGGAAGCCGCGATGGTGAAGACGGTGAGTGTGATCTTGCCCTTTTCTTTTCTTCTTTCGTGATTTCGACATGGGATATCTTTATGTGGATAGATGTATATATATATGGAGGACCGCTAGCTAACTAAACTGATTATGATACGCAATAGATCCAAGCGGCAATGGAATCCTGCCCCGTCAAATCCGTCATGGCGGGCGGCATGGGCTTCGCGCTCGGCGGTGCTTTTGGTTATTCATGAGCAGTGTACGTTATCCATAGTCATACCACACCACACCACATCATATTCCATCCTCCCTCCCCTCCCCCCCCCCCCCCCTATCCTTTCCATAATAAACAACACCCACTAACCAAAACCCCAGATGTCCTACGACACTCCCCTAACCCCGCAAGGCCGCGAACTCTCCACACTGCCCGTCCGCGAACAACTCCGGCGTGGCTTCAAAGACATGGGCAGCCGCTCCTACAGCTCCGCGAGAAACTTTGCCGTCGTCGGCGCCATCTTCAGCGGGACGGAGTGCTGCATTGAAGGGCTGCGAGCGAAGAACGATCTGGCGAACGGGGTTGCGGCGGGTTGTATTACCGGCGGGGTGCTGGGGGCGAAGGCGGGGCCGCAGGCGGCAATGCTGGGGTGTGCTGGGTTTGCAGCGTTTAGTGCGGCGATTGATGCGTGGATGAGGCAGCCGTCGGATTAGATTGGGGGAGGTTTCTCCTGATATGGTCCTTTCTTTTTTTACTGGCGTTGTGTTTTGGGGGGGTTATATACGTTAAGCTTTGCTTTCTTGCTTAATGTTTTATCTAGAGGGTTGTTTTGGGTGCATTTACGGGCGTTCCTTTTGATTTTTGATTTTTTTTTGATTTTTATTTTTTACCTCTTTTCTTCAATTCTTGGGATTATCGTCGCCTCGTTACTCTGAAAGATTGGGTAACTTGGAAGGGTTGGAGTGATTCTGATACCAACACTGTGGGATCGGCCGTCTCGTCTGGCGGAGATAAGAGAAGAATCCCGACTCATTTATGGATGGATATACGGAGAGATGGGGATGGAGGGTGCACGCTAGTTTGTATTTCTAGGAGAATGTGTGTATGAATGTATGTAACATGTACGATAGGAGAGTTGATGATTAGGAAATAAGAAAGGAGACAGAATAGTGTATATTTTTTCGTAGGCTGATTGACACATCCTGCCCAAGCAAAGCTGCAAGCTGCTTGTGGCTTTCAATATATATCCTAGTTCTGAATACAAAACGCCGAATTTCTCCCGCCCATCCAGCGTGTCGCATCAGACCATGATATGATGGATACAATCTGTCCTGGTGAGGGGAAAATAGGATCTGGCGTCCATAACCGCGAGCGGCGCCGGGGGAGAGAGATATAGAGACAGACATATGGACGGAAGAGACACACCCGCCATCGTCGCCGAAAAACACAACAGTCACCGTGCAATTACGAGAGAACCCCCCTTGCAGCCTGTATATTGTGTGCTTCAGCCTGGACATTGCGTGGTTGATCTGAAAGGAGTTATTATTACTCGGATAGATAAAGTTAGTATTTAACTGCCTTTCGGCCGAGCCCGAGCCCGAGCTTATTTTTGTGATTTTCCCCAAGTCAATCCTCCGCCTTTTGCCACCTGGTTGGGTGAGTTGGGATATCAACAACGTTTTATTTTTTATTTTGTTATCAAAGAAAGAAATTGTATTGGGGAAAGGGGAATATAGGAACAAAGAAAGGAAGAAAAAGATATTATTATTATTATTATTCGACGATGATATCTGTAAGTGTTTCCCTGCTGTGTACAACATATGTACTGCGAACGGCTGCAAAATCATCATTCTTCCATCTTCAGCCCTATCCTATCCTATCCTATCCTATCGGGCCCGGCATCGTCTAACTAACGCCCTTCTAGACGCGCAATCCGCTGCCCGAGAAGCCCCTGAACCGCGAAGCTCCCCTGCGTGAGCTGGTGTCTAGGTAAGGCCCCGTCCATTTATTTATCAGCATTGCCGTCGTCTCCTTCTTGGTGGTTCCCCTGCTAGCCCCGATTGCGTGCTTTGTGTGGCGCATCACCTCAACCCAAGCTGCGACAAACCTGCCTATCACCATACATCTACATACATCCACATAACCTCTTACATGCGACAATCCACCCAGCTAACATATATTGCACCACTCAGCTTCCTCACCCCGGCCCCAGATGCCTACAACCGCAACCACAGCGCCATCCCAGACCTCGACGCGGCCACCCATGTCGTCTCTGTCGGTGGGGACGTCGCCAACCCTCTCCGCCTATCCATAGACCAGCTGCGCCATGACTTCCCCCAGCATGAGGTGCTGGCGGCTCTGCAGTGCGCCGGGAACCGTCGCCATACCATGCGCACCAAGCTCAAGGAGGTGGTGGGGCTGGACTGGATGGATGGCGCCATTATGAACTGCGCCTGGAGGGGTCCTAGGTTGCGCGATGTGCTGCTCAAGGCTGGCGTGAAGGGATATACGACCAATAGTGATGATGTTGCTGAGAATACGAAGGGAATGACTAATGGCGCCGTTACCCGGCTTAAGGGGCTCAACGGCCATTTTTGTAGTCAGAAGCTGCCCGAGATGTATGTTTCCTTTACCTGCGATCAACTGCAGTGTGAGGATGACAGCTACTATGGCGCCAGCATTGAGCTATGGAGAGCCATGGCCTTGGATAGGGAGGTGATTCTAGCCCTGGAGGTAAGGAAATTCATTTCCACATATTATCATAACTAAAATTTTATAGACAAACTAACAATCCACAACTCCCAGATGAACGGCGAACCCCTTCAACCCGCCTACGGCTACCCCGTCCGCGTCGTTGCCCCCGGCGTCGCCGGCGCCCGCTGGGTAAAATGGCTCGACACCATCTCCGTCGGCCCCCACGAATCCCCCAACTTCTACCAGCAGCACGACTACAAGATCCTGCCCCCAGAAGCCACCACCTGGGAAATCGCCGAGTCCTACTGGCCCAAGGTGCCCGCCATGCAATGCATGCCCGTCAACTCCGTCGTCGCGGTCCCCGGTGACGACGAGACCGTCCGCCGCCCGCCCTCGGGCAAGCTAGAGGTGAAAGGCTTTGCTGTCCCGCACGGCGCTGAGGGCCCCGTGACGCGTGTTGAGGTTTCAGCCGACGGCGGGAAGACGTGGGTTGATGCTGAGCTAAATCATGGCGCGGAGAGTTTTAATAAGGGAGGAAGTAAGTGGGCGTGGGTGTTGTGGAGGGCGGAGGTGCCGGTGGAGAAGGGGCGGGATTTGACGATCTACAGTCGCGCGACGGATGCGGGTGGGAATACACAGCAGCAGACATCGCCGTGGAATTTGCGCGGGGTAGGATATTGTGGGTATGGGGCGTCGTGGAATGTCTCTGTGGTTTGAGCGTGTTCTGTTCCTTATCTTTTCTTTCTTTCTTTCTTTCTTTTCTTTCTCTCTTTCTTTCTTCTCTTTATGGTTGTTGCTTGGAGTTTGTCGGATGCCCCTTTGCGCGTGCTTCTGGGTTTTCTTATTGATTACCCTGCCTCTCCTGCTCCTGTCCTTCCTTGTTCTGTTCCGTTTGTGATGACCAATGACCCCAGCCCGTGCCGTGCCAACTTTTTGCGCTCCCTTTTAGCCTTTCACGTTCTTTTTCACCTCATATTTCTATTCTATATTTATGGCTGTTCAACTACCTCCTCACCCCAGACTTCTTGCCCACTCTCCACTCAGTGATGAAAAAAAAAATGAAAAAAAAAAAAAAAAAAAAAAAAAAAAAAAAAAAAAGTTGACTGAGCCGGCTCCCTATCAAACTACTCATGTCTCTCAGTCTTGTCCCTGTCCTAATCTTCCACTCCCCTGTCCCCATATCTTCCCTTGGCTTCTTAATACACACTCTTCCCGAAATATACAATGTCTGCCTCTCTCTCTGTCTGTTTACTTTCATAGAGAGAAAACCTGCTCCTTGTGAACGGCTATACCTCGTTACTTTACATGATAAAGACTAGATGAGCTAGCTTGCTTTGCTTTACTTCTAGACATTCATCAGCCTGTTGATTTGTTCAGGCTCTATTATTCAATTCCCTCTCCCGCAGCCAGCACACTCGTTCAAGTGGCATCGTACCATATATTCACATGCGAGTTTTTCGATTGATTCTTAATGTTGTTCCCCGTTTGCAGGGACTCGGAAATCCACGTCCTAGCTAAGTTGCCGTGGAAATCTAGGACCATTAACTTCATCTTAACTATTCAGGAATTACCAAGGTTCTCCCTCCCCATCACCTGGCACATTCCCTCGTCGCGAGGCAGTGGATACCAGTCATCTTGCAATCACTGAACCCTGCTGAACCCTCCTCGCTTCCGTGCCCCACCCATATCGATCATCAGGATGGAGATGCAGCTGTGAAGAGGGGGAAACGTCTCTTCAATTCAAATTCTGGCTGGCACTGGTACGTCATCCGGTGAGGTGACTGAGATGTCTGTATAGATTGAATGGGCTGGGATGGGCGTTCTTTTCCAACGAGCGAGATCGTAAGGGCGTTTTATATACGTTGAAATCGGCAACCTGCTTCTATGAGACCGGTTAAAAAATATGCGTTTACGTGATATCACTATGCGAGGGAAACTTGCTACCACCATCTACGTGTCAGAGACTAATCCGTCTATCCTTAGGTAGCCTTCCACCATATAACGGCGGATCTTAGAATGATCAAGCTTATTACCTCTGTTAGCACGATCTTCGCAGCGTAATTGCAGAATCTCGCAGCCTTCCCGGTAGGGTTCGGGCCATATCCAGTACTCTAACCAGTCATTTCGCCAACAGCTCGCCAGCTATCATGCCTTTCAAGCACCCATTCGCAGCGCTCCCCTTCGGCAAGTTAACATGTATCAGATCCTATTTGCAAACGACCTCCATGCCAGAGAGTTGCCTCGTGTCAACATTTATGAAACGATACGATGACATCGCGTGAACGTCTACAGCGTATCAACAATGTTCTTCGCACTGCCAATTTCAATATCGATCAGCAACTCGCCTTTAACAGTCTCACATGACTCACTGGTGGTGTCGGCTTTTATCGTGGGCCACCAGGAACTGGCACCACTTATTGGATTATTTTCCAGTTTCTTCTTCCGTTAATCGGTGCAAAGTAGTATCTCATACTTCGCAGAAGATAAATCTCCTGCACACTATTAAAACTGGTGACACTCCCATTATCCGCTATTTCTAAGAAGGGCTAGACACCTGGCTCGCCGACGTCTAGCCCCTCAAGAACCTGGAGACTGCGGGGTATTTTCAACGAGTTAGGGAAACCGGATCATCGGGGTATCACATAGATGTGTCTAGTTCTCGATTGGGGCCTGTATTTGGGTTGGGATTGGTTTCTTCTGAACCTGAATCTTCACCTTCTGATGCTTTTGCTGCTGCTGCTCCTCTTTCTGAGGGAGAAGCTTGTTCCCCACCAAAAACTTCCCTCACGAAAACCATCAAGTCCTCGTTACTGCTTCAGCGAATGGCCCTGTCAATGATGCTGCCATTCACTGTTACAATTCTACCGCTCTGTTCCAACGAGAGACTGTCATGGACTTTGTATACGCCAAGATCGTCACCGTTTACCATCACACCACTTACGCGAGACAAACCTACCATGCGTTCCACCACCTCTGTTCGAGAACCCAGACAACTATGGGCCGCTGATTTTGATCAAACGTGGGAAATGGAACAGCGTGCGGAGACGGGTATAATATCTATCGAAGATGGGACGGGTGTCTATCATGACTCAACTTTGTATATACTTGCGGTATTTAACTGTCTGGATACATATTATCTGCTGGAGCTCTCGCAAAGACCCCCTTGATATTCTTTGTTTTACCCAGCTTACTTTTAATTTTTGTCTTTTGACCACCCATAATCAACGGGGGAGGTATGCCTGCCTCGACTGCGTATAGAGGACTGGAGACTCCTGAAGACCTATACCAATCCCTCCGAGACGGTCTCTTCCCGAGGATTGGGTGGGCGAGGCTCAAGCAATCTTGCAGCCTTTCTAAAGAAGAACTAGAAGTATGGTTAGCTGGAAGCAAGATCACGCTAGGACCTTATCACCGAGTTAAGACTCAATTTTGTTAAACTTTTATATCCGTATCGATACCTAGACGGAGTCTCTCTTGATAACCTGCCATGCACGGATCTTATAGTTTATAAGGCCAATTTCCCACCAAGGGAAAACACCTACAAAAAGCGGCTATTAACAATCGTCCGTTTCACTGAAAAATACTCCTGCTATAGCCAAAGACCCCAAACTCCCACAATAATCCACACTTTTCGGGGGTTATGTGTATCCGGTTCCCCTAGCTTCTGAATCTCGACATTTTTGCGCGGGTTAGCCTATTTCTAAAGGGGGGGCTGTCTGAGTGATCCCATCCCGTCACTGTTCACTGTCACCATGTCTTCAGGTATCATTTCGGGGTGTCAGCCAGGTCCCTCAGAAGGCGGAGTGGACGTCTCACCACTCTAATGTCCTCTAGCCACTTCCCCTGATATTCTTTATTTTATCAGCGGGCCCGACTTCTTGACCCAGGTCATCAAATAATTGGTAGCATTAAGTCAACAGAATGGGCAGTGTCGTATGTACATGTACAGGCCATGATCATAGGCGGGGTGTCCCTGAGCGTCAATCATATATCCTTCCTTGGGTCCTGTGGAATGCACAGGCGACAACCTCCACCCAAATCAGCAACGAAATGATCTATAATAATGCAAGAGGATCCACCGCAGAGAACGCAGAGAACACGCGGAGCGAAGGTGGTCAACTGGGGCCTGACGCATAAGGACGTGACAACTGTAAAGAGGATATTTGGAGAGCTTTCAAAGTTGGCAGCATAATGATAAGATACACGACCCACGTCGGATGGCCTCCAAAAAACCGTCCGCCTCAACGACTTCTGGGTGCTCGTGGCTACGCAGCTGAAATTAGTAGTACAACGTTCGTTACCCCGAGAGGCCCCGCAACTTCAATAGTGCTTTCTCAACTGCTAACCGATGCCTTAGGGTTGAAATTGCCACCATACACGAGGGTAGAACACTGGACGAGCATGAGGATACCATCGATATGTTCAATTCCGACAAGGAGGGTTACAAAATTTCGATGTTCTCATTTCAGTGTCTGGATTTTATCACATCTCAGCAGTGACCGCCATCTCAGAGCTAGAAGAGAGTCTAGATCTACTCTTCATTGACGAGGTTGTTCACTGAACCAACTTTTACTCTGTCATTCATCTAGCTCAGCATTCTACACAGTGGTAGAAAAGACAGCCCTCAACATCAAACATGATAGTGCCTGAAATGATCCCATCAGCAACTTGAAAGAGTTCAGAACCCTCTATTTTACACTTATTAAAGTGACCAGCAATGTCTTAATGATATACTGTCATTACATAAGTTAAATATGTTGTGAGGTGTCTCCCTCCTAATGCAGCATCAGCTGATATAATATTATTGATATCTTCTCTCTTTTCACTTGGCTCCTTTATAAGAAGTTTTCGCTCGCATGGGGTGTTACAGGATGATGTCGGTTCCGAATCACTCGTTACCTGACATTCGACTCCCCGGTGCAGTGGCAGCTATTAACCCTATCAACTATACCATACAACTTAACAAACCTCCAGCGGCCGAAGCCCAGCGAGTTTGTGATACTAAAGGGCAGGACGAATATTTATCACAAACCAATGATATATCCTTCCCTGATGGTGTTCTCATCCGCCACCAGCCACTGGTGAGATTTTGCAAATGTGTTTTGAGACACCCAACGGCACATAATGCAGGTGTTTGAATAAAACCCTAGCATATTTATACCGGAACAAATCCCAGTGAAAATTCACGAGTGCGCGCCGTTGGAGTTGTCGTCAAGGATGGCTATACCGACTGCAATGATGCCGTCACCTCATGAACCTAGCCGGTGTTCCATCTCAGCTTCACCAACGGTCGGGAATCTCTCCTAGATGCCTCCGATATTCTTCCAGTCCGCATGGCCGACAGTTGCGTCTTGGCCCTTTCACACCTACGTGATGGATACGCAATTGTAATCTCGGACGGATTCGAACCATCGATTCTACGCCCGCTATGCCTACCGGCCACCAATCCAAGCTTCGTGAGGCTGCTACCTGCGGTCGTGGTCGTAAGTATTCTGCTTGTTTTGACTGTTTTACGCTGTCCAGTTTCCTCGCCATGAGCTTCTCCAGCTTGCGCTTGGCTTTGAACGCCCCTACTCACATCCAGGCTCGCTAGGTCGCGTCGTTACACCCTCCCCCACATGTCAGATTGCATGCACGTGAATGTATGCAGTTCAGTACATGAAGGGGACTGTACTTCGTCGTTGAGAGAAAAGTGTTCCTCTCCTTTGCAGTTTTCTTGTCCTTTGTTCTTTAACCTTCATTCTCTGATATCAAAGGAATTACTCTCAAAAATGATGCGCGCCATTATCATAACCTGCTGGTTTTGACACCATAGGTTCAGATATAACTTGCCTGCCGCTGAGGGCTGGTCAGATCCCCGGCGTGGTGGCTACCTCAGCCCGCAGTGAGGGGCTTGACCTTCCATATGTTGACTATGTCATAAAATGGAATGGCTCATGTTCACTGCAGGTTATTGCCTTTGAATATTCCTAATATCTCCTGTGCCATAACAATCTTATTGGAAAGTTACATCTTCTGAATTTTACTGCACAAAAGGGGGCATTCTGAGCTTCGTCAATCCTATACCTATTCCCCTCTTAGGGATTGGAGTGGGAAACTGAGCATTAGAGATGATTATGGACGATTCTGTATCTCTGTCCTGACGACCACAAGATCTGAATTGGGTTCATCACAGTAATCCACTGCATGGCACCCTCAAACCGACGGCCAATCGGAACGTACCAACCAGACTGTATTAACCAACCCCACTCAATGGCCAGACACAGTAACTTACCTCTCCTGCAATCCCAATCCCATCTAAGCTCAGCTATATCCTCGGTGACCTGCAAATCCCCACATGAAGCAATGAACAGATGAACAGATTGTCTATGTACATCCTACCAGGGCTATTATTAGAATCTCAGCCCGGCTAGTTAAAATTACTAACTTGACAGATGCCGCAAAGCCGAACCCCAATGAAGACAAGTGTTTGCCGGTCGATTCCTCACTAACTGTGCTTGTGTCGCTAATATGAACATACCAAATCTTGTTTTAACCTGTCAGAGATTCCATGTTAGCTTTCACTTTGTATTCCCATTGCTCAAGTTGAGATGATAGTTGTTTATATAAGTTACTGTACCCAATCATTTAATTTAAGGGGGTTTGGTTATCGTCAGATTTCACGTCCATGACATGTAACACGTGCCGTTTTCCCTTTCATTCTCTCTTATTTGCAGCTGCTCGTCAAGGGGGATAATATGACTGAAAAATGAATAACTAAAATGACTGGTTAATATCGAATAAAATAAAATTAGAGTAGATGAAACATGAGAGACAACAACACTAGCTGAACAATTATTAATGAAAGCGAAGCGACATATTATAGAAAAGGAAAAAAAAGGCTCTTAATCTCGCCATCCGCCCGTCTCGAACCCTGGCCCGGGCAGCGAGTAATAAAATAGAGCAAAAAGCGAAGCGGAATCAGATTCCGAGACTTAACTTTATAAGATGGGTTAATAGCTTACTTCGCTGGTGACGAGCAGGCAGATTGTGACATTTAAGGGAGTCCGCAGTCGTGTCAGCAGCCAATAATATTGAAGAAGACATGAAGACATGGATATCCTGGATGTTGCTACGTGATGGTCGGTGTTGTTATTACTCCGTCGTCGTCGTCGTTGATATCCAGCCTGTTCTTGGCGGTTTGCAATGGCTCACACAGCCACATAGCTTTGTTAGGGTTGCGGTGGAACTGGCGCTTTTGAGTTTCTAGGCTGTGACTGTGACGTATCCATTAGCTATCATTCGTTCTGCGGACTATATAACTTCAATTTCTTGCATTTTCATCCTCTTTCTTCTCATCTCACCTCACCAGTAATCGTCCTGTTTGACACAGAACCCATCAGACACCCCGTACAGTGCAGTCAGAGAAACACATCCAAATATATCCCCAAAATCTCCAAACCATGGCTACAGCAGCAGTCTTCGGGTGTACTGGAGCGGTGGGCTCTCAAATCCTCGCAACAGTCCTCTCCATAGATGCATTCTCAGCTGTCAAAACTATCTCAAGGAGACTACCGAACGCTCAGTCGCCCAAGCTCCAAGCCATCGAAGAAGCCGATAGCTCAAAATGGGTCGCCTTGATCCCCTCCCTCACCCCCAAGCCATCAGTGTTCTTCAATGCAATCGGCACCACAAGAGCGGCAGCCGGCGGAATCCAGAACCAGTGGAAAATCGATCATGACCTGTGCATAGAGAACGCGAAAGCAGCCAAGGCAGCTGGAGCGAAGACATATGTGTTCATCTCCAGCGGCGGGACCAGAGGGTTCCCGTCGCGCTACCTGCCGTACTCGAAAATGAAGATTGGAGTGGAGGATGCCATCCGCGACGTCGGTTTCGAGCATGCTATTATCCTGAGGCCGGGAATGATCATCCACAGGGACACAAACAAAACCTTGCTCATGGAGCGCGCCGTAGAATGGTTGAGCGTGTTTGGACAGGGCGTCCAGGATATGATAGGTATGACACACACACACCCCCTCCCTCCTCCCCCCCCCCCGCGGGGGGGATGAATTATTATTTATTTGAATGATTTTTTTTATTCGAAATCCTAACTTATGTGATCACTGTAGGTCAGGATCAAACTACTATTGGTAGAGCCGCTGTAGCAGCTGCTCGCATGGCTGAAGAGGGCAAAGCTCCCTCAAAGTACTGGGTTTTGGAAATGGCCGATATCGTCAAGTATGGCAGAGACGAGTGGAAGCAATAAACAACTGTATAACTATATGCTTTGGCAGTGATCAATTTTGCACTGGGGCTACGCCTAAATACTATAATCATAATAGCTAAATAATATGAACAAAACATTCTAATAATCAGAAAGTCGTGTATACAACGTTGGTCCTTGTTTTACAACCTCGTGTAGCGGGGTGTCACCATACGATTATATTAGCAAGAGTAAAGAAACATTTAGGGGAAAGAAATGAAAATAGAATTGGCCTCCTCCGGCTCGACTCGACGGCCCATCCATGTGCTCGTTCATTGGGCTAAATCCTTACTCTCCGACACTCTAGCGCAGCCTAAGGCAGCCACCAAGCCGCGAATGTTCTGCCTGGATATCAGCATATAAAATGGCTGACATTAGCCATGTATTAGGATCACACCGCACGTACAGTACCTTCGCATTCCTCTAGCTTTTCTCTCGATTCCACAGCTTAGGGTATCACCCGTTACTGTATCCGATCGTCTCGGCGACTTGATGATGCAACGACATGCTCAAGAAAATGAGCCGCGGGGTGGGAGTGGGCCGAAGACGAAACGAAAGCCTGTCCGCCGTGACATGGAAAAGAGACGACAGCAGAATGTTAAAGCACAACGAAAGTACCGTGAGTAGCTCCATCCGGCCCAGCCTCCTCTAGCGTCTGGCCAGCGTGTCAACAGGTTGCAGAATGGAGGCGCTGGAACCTCTCTCAAGGGGCACGAAAGTGAGTACTGATCGTTTGCCTAGGAGAAAAGCTACGTGCGCGGCTCAATCGCCTTGAAGGACTTGCTGCATCTGTCACGCAGAGCCATGCTATTGAGGCAGAAACAGTTACACACGCGGGTCCATCTGATGTCACAACAGATAGCTCATGCAGCTATAGCGCTTCGCCCAATACAACTGGAATGGCTCCGCTACCCTATGCCGATTCAGGTACATCAGGTTCCAATTCATCTGTAGTGACTCCAGGAGAATGTCAATACCTTTTCCCACGGTTAGAGGAAGATGGAGCGGCGCGGAGCATACATGATTCAGAGGCGCATGTTCCACAGCCAGATAGCACCTCGACGGCATTGGGCACGTGGGATTCTACGAGCTTTATAGGCCTCTCCTCGCTTCTCATTAACCATAAATCCAATGGCGCGCTGAATCCATACTGGACGACCACCATTAAGTGCGGCTGCTCTGTCTCACACCTGCAGCTACGGACAAAAGGCGCTGGTCCATTCAACTTTGAGGAAATTAGGATACTAAAATTTAGGCCGGATATAGCCACACTAGATCCATATGCTAGCAATATACGCATCGAAATAGTATGCACTGTATCTGCACTGTATACTATCGGAATGCATGTTGGCCTTACTGAGGAGATGATCTGTACCGACAACTCTCTCTCACCATTCTTCTGGCCCAGCTCGGGTTTGGATTCGGACGACGATACAGCCAAAACGAACACGATCTGTACAGTCCAAAGGGTATTCAGCACCCTGAAACCGGATCTGAGACCGAGCATCGAACAAATCACCGTCCAACATCACCCGTACATTGATATCCTACCCTTCCCAACACTACGGAACAATCTCATTACACACCAGGAAGAGATTGACAAGGATGAGTTTTTCCATGACATGCTTGCCGGATTGGTGTGTTGGGGCAGTGGCGGTATAGGGAAAAAGGATCGACAGGTTTCTACTAAGCCTATTTCGACAGGTACGCCATGGGACGCTCGAAGTTGGGAAGCAAAGATGTGGTTTTTGAAAAAATACTGGCCTTTGCTGGGCGGTGAAGATGGCGAACTCGTGCGGCAAAGCGAGTGGTGGCGTAGTATCAGAGGAGACGCTCCATCACAGAGTCACAGTTAATGTCTAGATTGCTGAAAAAACTGAATTTAACACAGAAGAAAATAATTATTTAATCAATTATCATTATAAAATCTATTAATTCATTAGTTCTACTTTAGATTGAACTCATAGTTATGTACAGAGTACAGAGTACGTAACTCCGTAAGAGAGTTTTAAGCTGAATAATAAATTTATAACTCACTCAGTAATAAGCTTGTAAACAGCAGAACAGCAGATATTGTAAATATATTAACAAAAGAGTTAATATATGATGATAAAGATATGAAAAACATATATTTGAATAATAATTGAATGATTCTAGAGAAATGTGAATATTTTGGGCCCCTCCGCAAAGCTGAAAAGCGGGCAATTGGCTGACTAACCCCAATCCAATCCCCCTCCCCTTCTTCTCTACTAAGCTTGATATCCCATAGAACACAACCGCCCGTATGAAGATACACAAGTTTCTAGCGAACGCTGCTTCTTGCAGGATTAATGTCATGCCTACGCCCTCGGCCATGCTAGCGAAGCCCTATACGCCAGAAATGAGGGAGGTTTCCTAACTTTCGACGCGTGTAGAAGGTTCATTTTATATTTTCCGTCTAGGCTGGGAAGGCATCTACTTACCCTCCAGTCGGGAGGATTTGGATACAAGGCATAGCAGTACGCGACTCAACGATAGCCCATGGCATCTCCCCTCACTTACCTTATTAACGTCCTCTGCAACTATGCGAATAGAAAGGGGACATCCAAATATAAGGGGGGATATGTACTTGAATGTAAAAATGGTAGCAGGTTGTCCTTTGGGGGGATATTACAGCAACAAAATACTTTTATACCACAGATCATGCTGTCTATAGTGATCTATTTACCAAGAATCATTTCGCAGGAAGACTGAATAGGATCTAACAGCGACTTTATATTTAGAAATTAGACAACGCTTCTACACATACCCGCAGGACTAAATCCAAGAAGCTAATATATAATATATACATATAAACACATAAAGTCATTCCAAAACAATATACTTCTCTAGATGCTTAGGTATCGCGCCGCGCAGGTTCTTACTCTGCAGCCACTTCTCCGAGAATAGGCGGTCGGCATATCTATAGGCACCATCACATAATACAGTAACGACGGTATGGCCCTTGCCCAGCTTCTCAGCAACCTCCTTCGCCGCAACAACATTGAGAGCCGAGCTGGCGCCAAGGTAAAGACCTTCCTCATCTAAACACCGGTACACCATCTCAATGCTCTTTTCATCACTGATATTTAACGCTCCATCCACCAGGTCGATATCCGGCTGTAGATTGTCTGTAACACGACCCTGGCCAATTCCTTCCGTTATACTGCTGCCCGTTCGTTCAATAAGTTTCCCGCCGCTTGATATATATTTGTAAAGCACACTTCCTGGTGGATCTGCGAGGAAGCTCTTTACGCGCCCATCGCTGACAGTCTTCAAATATCTGGTGACGCCTGCTAGCGTGCCGCCCGTGCCAGTCGCGCAGGTGAAAGCGTCGACTTTACCTCCAGTTTGGGCCCAGATTTCTGGGCCTGTAGTCTCAATATGCGCGCGGCGGTTGGCCGTGTTATCGAACTGGTTTGTCCAGACAGCGTTGTCTAGCGACTCGGCATGTCTTCTGGCTTGGTGGTTGTAGTTTTGTGGGTTTTCGAAGGCTACTGCGGGGACGGGGTATACCTCCGCACCGAGGAGCCGTAGGAGATCGATCTTGCCTTGGGACTGTGTGTTGGGCATGTAAATGACGAGTTTGTATCCTTTCGATCGGCAGACGTGGGCCAGGCCGATTCCGGTATTCCCGGCTGTGCCTTCAACAACCGTGCCACCAGGTTTCAGAAGCCCTCGCTCCTCCGCATCCTTGACAACATACAACGCCGCGCGATCCTTGACGCTGCCTCCCGGGTTTTGGAATTCCCCTTTTCCGAGAACTTCGCAGCCCGTCTCCTCTGAGAGCCTGTTCAGCCGGATGAGGGGTGTATTTCCAATTGCTATCACGCGAAGTCAGTAAATTCATGTAGGGGCTAGACGTACGTTGGAAATGAAAACACAGGTTAATCGGTGGTACCTTACCTCCCGTGAGGCCTTTCACGACTCCTTGGGCTTTTGAAACTTGGATGCCATAAGCGTTTTTGGACTCAATCTGCGCAATGGTCTCCGCTGACCTGCAAGCCGTGGTGGCAAAGCGTCTGACACTGGTGCGGAACATGATGCCTGATGTGCAAGTAAATGGACGGGTAAATTTGATATCTGTAGAATGAGTTAGAGTCAATTACAGAGCCTGCAAGCGCCGAGTACAATAGCATCGATTGCGTGATAAGGAACTAGAGATTAGTCACGTGCACCGGAAGACCAGTACATCTCGGAAGATTCATCGAGGCAGGCCGGAGAATACACAATTATGTGATGCCCCTGACCCTGAGGAATGGAAATAGAAATAGGTAGACAAATTTTATATGGTCTTGAACAGAATATGCATCTTTTATACGCGATCAAAACATAGAGACATGCCATCCATTATCAATCTGGGCCAAGATGTTCCACGTGGACTTCAGAGCCCTTATCTTAGCGCGATCAGCGTGCATTAGCTTTGTTTATCCCCATTGCCTAAAGCGGCAATTCGACGTCAATGTAAACAACAACATCAGCGCCGATGAACTACCAACAACTCCGTGACAGCATTCGACCCCGATATAGGATGATTACATTGATTTGAGACCAAGTATCACTATTCTTTTGATGCTTATACATCTAGCCCCGCTCCTCCTACAGGATTAGCTGAGATCTGTAATAACCAGGCACGCATTCCTTCCCCGTCCCCGAGGGTAGGTACAGGAAGCCGGCGTGGACGTTTCGATTGCGCCCCAATATTCCCACCATGCCCGCTCGAGTTTCTGCCCGGGCCTCTTCGGCGACGTCTACTCGCAAGTCTTCAGCCCCGCCCGCTGAAAGAAGTGCGCCGTCTGTATTCATCCCACCAGAGCCCGCGCTGCCTACCTCGTCTCCACATCTCCGGAAAAGCATAGTCGAGATTTTCTCAGATGCGCAACGTTCAGCAACCGGCCATAGGAAACTCGTTGTACGGTTAAGGAAGATACAAGAAGGTTGTTGTGGATTGCGACGGGAGAAGACGAAAGGGAAGGGAAGCAAGCAGCATGAAGAGTCCATAAACGATGGCTTCACTGCTGACGACGGGGTGGCGGAGAAGGAGTTTAATATTGAGGTTTCCAGATGCATGCTGAGAATCCTCGGGGTGAAAAAGACAGAAGGGGCGGCAGATCGGGTCATTAAATTCCTCGGGACTTTCCTAAGACTAGCTTCCGAGAGAGGTATGTTAGACAACGACTAAAATTATTCCATCTTCCCACACCCTAACGGATCACGTAGATTTTGAGGTGTTCCTTCAGGGAGACCCAGATGAGACTCAGTCTCTACCAGAGACCCCTACTTCCAGGCTGATATTCAGCATTGTGTCAACCATGATTCCACTCCTCGCGGCCAAGGAGAGGATTATCCGATATCGAACAACGCAGATCGTGACTCACATCGTCAATTCACTAGATTCTGTGGATGATGAGCTATATCACCTTATCCGACAAGGTTTAGTCAGGCGCATCAGAGATAAAGAACCCTCCGTGCGCGTCCAGGCCGTCATGGGCCTTGGGCGACTCGCCGGAAATGAAGACGAAGACGACGAATCGAGCAGGAACGATGGGGCAGCAGCGCTCCTGGATAGACTACTGGATGTCCTTCAAAATGATACTAGCGCTGAAGTGCGACGCACGTTGCTTCTTAACCTTCCATTAACGCCAACAACCCTACCTTACCTTCTAGAACGGGCCCGAGACCTGGATGCACCCACACGGAGAGCATTATACTCGCGTCTACTTCCACAATTGGGAGACTTTAGACATCTCTCCTTGTCCATGAGAGAAAAACTACTACGATGGGGAATACGGGATCGCGATGACAATGTCAAGAAGGCGGCTGGTAGGCTATTTTACGAACGTTGGATCGAGGATTGCGCCGGGCGGCCCGAAGCTGAAGAAGATGGCCAACAACCCACAGACAAAACTGCCCCACCCAGCATGCCCGCGCTGATGGAGCTTCTAGAACGGATAGATGTTGTGAACTCTGGAATCGAGGGTGGAATTGCTCATGAGGCCATGAGGATCTTTTGGGAAGGACGCCCTGACTACCGTGAAGCAGTTGATTTCAATGAGCAATTCTGGGAATCTCTCACACCGGAAACAGTGTTTATGGCACGAAGCTTCAACCAGTTCTGCAAGGAAGAGGGTGATGGTAAATATCACGATTTGGTGGATGAAAAGATTCCCGAAGTTACTGCACTGGCTTACTACCTCCATAAGTATACGGCTTCTCTTTTAGACAGGCTGAATGGACCAGCAGAGGATGAGCGCGCGGAAGAAGAAACCGTCGAGTGCGAATTCGTTGTTGAGCAACTCCTGCATATCTGCCTTACTCTTGACTATAGTGACGAAGTTGGCAGAAGAAAGATGTTTGCTCTTCTCAGAGAGACATTAGCAGTCCCTAATCTCCCAGAGGAGGTAACAAAACTTGTCGTCGAGGCTCTGCGAGCGGTTTGTGGTCCCGACGCCGCTGGTGAAAGTGAGTTTTGTGGTGTCGTGCTCGAAGCTGTAGCAGAAGTCCATGACACGATCGTGTCAGAGGATAGCTTTGTCTCCGCGAAGTCGGAACAGAGTGAGGAAAGTAGGAAATCTAAGCGGAATCGATCCGAGACCCCTGGTGATGAAGATGAGGAAGATGAGGATGATAGTGAAGAGGTTCCGTTTAACAAGGAAGAGGCTAAAGCCAAGCTTCTTCGCGAGATTATGGTGAACATGAAGTGTCTTTATATCGCGCAATGTATGCTTCAAAATGTTGAAGGCAACTTGCAAGACAATATGCACCTAGTTACCATGCTGAACAATCTGGTGGTCCCAGCAGTCAGGAGCCACGAGGCCCCTATTAGAGAGCGTGGACTTCAGTGCTTGGGCCTATGCTGTCTATTGGATAAGGTAAGATGATCAAATAGGAATCTCGATAATATTTATAGTGAATCACCGCTGACCGCTTTCTAGACGCTGGCTGAAGAGAACATGAGCTTGTTTATACACTGCTACACGAAAGGCCACGAGGCTCTGCAAGAAACAGCGATCCGCATTCTTGCCGATATCCTCACAACGCATACTTCAATCCTTCTACCAGTTCAATCACCAAATGAAAGCAACTCTGTCATTCCTCCCCCGTTTCAAAAGCCATTGCTCAGAGTGTTCGCCAAGTCATTGAAAACCAGTTCCCCGCCAATTGTCCAAACGGCGGCTGTCACTGCATTGGCGAAACTATTGCTTACTGGAACCTTATCCCCGTCCGGCCCTAATGTGCCCTTATCGATCAAAGAGCTGAACGAGAACTCCATAGATGCCCTCCTACAAGCTCTCGTTCTCTCATTCTTCCATCCCCGGACGCGGGATAACCTAGCTCTCAGACAAGCACTGACGTACTTCCTGCCCGTCTACTGCCACTCCCGCGCTGCAAACGCTCAACACATGCGTAAAATTGCTGTGCCGGTAGTTCACTCAGTCTTAACTGCTGCCGATGATTTCTATGCCTTAGAAGCCGATGAAGACAGCGACGGAGAGATCGATGAAAGTGTCGGTGAAAAGGAAGTCAAATCTCTCATGTCAAATGTTGTAGGCATGCTTGCGGAATGGACAGATGAACGACGAATCGTCGGATTAGGTGGTGAAGCGCAACTTCCTGGGCTCTCTACCGCCACTAACATCGCCGCATTCCGGCCCAGCGACAGCCTCCATCTAGCCCTGATGCGGGATGTCCTCCAACGCCTCCTCGGAGTGGGCTCGACGAGTGCTTCTACCAAAGAGGAGAAAAAACATCTACTCTCCCTACTGAGCAAACTACACGTTCCATCCCCACCTACACCTCCAACCGCGCCTTCACGGTCCGGATCACGCGTACCAGATGGTGTAGATGATCATGAGAGTCTCCGCTCTAGCATGCGCTCCAACAATCTCACCGGCCAAGTTCAGTTCGCTTCCGATGATGATGGGGGGTTACCGCTCCTTGTGAAGGATCTACTAGACCAGGCGATCTCCTCTGGCGTCGCGAGCGATGCGACAGGCAGGAATGCACTGGTTAAAGCGAAGAACGCGGTCTTAAAGCTTGTCGCTGCGGCCACCGCGGCCGCGGCATCTAAGACGCATACAAGCCGGGCTGTTTCTGTGACTAGTGCTATAAGTCATAGTAGTAGCGGTAGGCGGGAGAGTGGAAGGAGTCGAGGAACCAGGGGAATGTCGAGGGAGGGTTCGGTGGCCCGTTCTGTGGCTTCTATGGCTTCTATGGCTTCTGGGGCGTCCGTGGCTATCAAGAGAGAGCGCGGAGATGATGGTGAGAGCATTTTAAGTGTGGTTCAGAGCGAGGCTGGGAGTGTGGATGCGGGTATGGATGAGAGTCGGACGGAAGCTGGGGAGGGTGATGATACGATCATTTCTCGGATCTCTGGCGGTGGCGGGAGGAAACGCGAGAGTACTGTTGATACAGGGACGGATGTGTTTACTGATGCTGAGGGGTGAGCAGGGGAGGATATTATGTTGATAGTAGAGGATTGTGACCCCGTTTTTGTTTTATTTGGACTTTTAAAGCGGATTCCTGGCCGGAAGACATGAGGGTTTACTTTATCTTTATTTGGTCTCTTCTATTTATCTTGTCCTTTGGTTTTATTTATTGGCAACACCCGTCGCTTTTTTCTGCTGGTATTGGTTCTGTCTGGTCTTGATAATCTCTGGTTTAATGCGGTATATATAATGAATGGATACCTGATTTCAATTTACACATCCATTCTAGCTTCTGGCCTTAGCTTGATATTTTACGATCTACATACCGCCCCGGTATCTCTCCGCAGATGACGACGTGGTGAAGCTCAAGCGCGTCCATCACATTCGCACTCCTACTTCACAAAGGGTATATATGTTAGGAGTGGCAGGGAAGGATAAAACAGAAGAATAGCCCTAGCTATGAACGAGTTTAATTGAGCAATAGTTCAGTTCTGGGGAATAGATAATAGATATAGAGCGGAGGAGGGATGGGTTGTGCATTTAATATATGGGATTTGATGATAGTGAGTTTAGGGGAATAGGGGCTGGGGGAAGTCAAGAGGGGGATAATAAACATGGGCTAGGCGATTTTCTCAATTTAGTAGGGAAGAGGAGATATGGGAGTGAGATAGAGGATATATATAGAGAAATATGGGGCCGAAGCGGGGAGAGGAAGCAAGTCAACCTCGAACACACAACATAGAGAGGGAGAGAGAGAGAGACAGCGGAGGGAAGGAGAAAGGTAGAGGAAGCTGCAGCAACAAAATAGTCCGATAAAAGCTGTTAGTCAATCGATCAGGAGGGTGGGAGGGAAAGGATTGGGGGCTCTAGAGTGTAGTACCGTGTCGCTAATGACCAAGAAAAGGAGAAAAGATAATATAGAAAAAAATAATTGTAGGAAAAAAGAAAAGAAAATTCCACCAAACCACGCACCATCACTCCAAACGGTTCCCGCCCACCAATTTTTCTGTTCCATACTTGAAGAGAAGAGAGAAATAAATAAAAATAAAAATAAAATAAAAAAGAAGCAAGGAACTTAAAAAAGAAAACCAATCCATGCCATTTGCCTGCCATTTTGCCATTTTGCCATGCCCAACCAGCCAACAAACCAACTAACCAAGCGACCAACCAACCGGCTAACCAACAAGGCATAAGAAGCCCCCAAACGAACATATAAAAAAGAAGAAGCTCCGTTCCGTTTTTCCCGCTCCAACAACATAATAAACGACCCCCGGTTGCCTATAGTAATCCAGACAAAAAATGGCCAAAAGAATCATAATAATAATAATAACAATCAAACAATAGATCTGGTTTCTCCAAAAATAAAAGAAGTAGAAAGAAAAAGAAAAGAGAAAGCAAATGAGGAAGCATACCCCGAACAGAGCTCATAAAAAGAAAACCGGGAGGTAATATTTAAAAGACAAAAATGGATGTGGGTGGGGTTGTTGAAAGTCAAGTTGTTGATGATTTTTCCCCCTGGTTCATCCGTCCATTTGTTCTTTTCCATCTCTTTTTGGTAGCGATTCCCTTTTTCCGTAATACCACTGTGTGCCTTAACCACCCATCCCAATTCATTTGTTTTCTCCCATATAAAAATCCCATTTTTTGGTAGATCTTCTCCGATGATTTTGTTGACCTGTATCTCCCCGTTATCCCCCCCAGTTGTTGTTAAAAGGATAGGTCGTGTCGAGATATACACCTCTGGCTTCTTTCCCTGCCGATAGTGGAAACCCCCTTTCCTGCCGCCTAACAATATTCGGTGTATTTCGAGGGAAGGAAAATTCTCATACTATACGATCCTGTCCAATGACCCAAACCAATCCAAAAAGAAGAACAAACAATTTTTTGTTTCCCCCCGACTCGCTATGCTGACGACAATGAACGACGTGGAAACCAAGGTGATGGCTTTATGAAAACAGCATCTATGCACGTCCCGATCATGTCATGCCATGCTGAAATGTCTTCGTTTCGCCCATCAATGCTGACCCGTGCGACCCTCAAATTTTACCATTGTCCGCCGTTCCACGATCGAAAAGGTGAAAGGAAAAGAAACAAAGGAAAACTGGTGAATGAATATAAAGAAAACAATATAAAAAAACAGAAAAGGTGAGAAGAGGACACAGGAATAGTACGACGCGATCAACCACACAAAAGCGGAAATAATAAGATAACACAGTGTAGCAAAGTATAGTAAAAACAAACAAGAAAATGAAGAAAGAACAAAGTCCCCGATCGAAAATTGCTCAACGAAAATTCCCGGGTATACAGAAGCGGATATAATTTTGTGGCCCAGGATTGGTTATTGTATGCTCCATGCAAATGTAGCAACTTGCTGCCTTCCGAAAAAGAACTTCTGTTTCCGCCCAATGCACCAAATATCGCAGGACAGACATCTCTAGATATAGAGCAGTAGCCATGCACCTATGGATGTAACTTGCGAAAATAAAACCAAAAAAGGGCGATGCGAACGTTTACAAAAGCCAAAATTAACAAAAAGTCTCGATATGGTATTTCCCGGGGGTATGCTCTTGGGAGGCCAAAAGTCAATGGCAAAATTTATGCTGGAGATTTGTTATTTGCCGCACCATTCCTGCGGGACTCTTCCACAGTCAAAGAGCCCAGTCCGGAGGCCAAGAAAGCGAAGGGATCAGCGGAGGCATCGTTGCCATAAAAGTTGCCGTTGGAGGCGCCAACGGGCTGAGGGACATGGTCTGCACCAGTGAAGGCAGCCTGGGTGGCCGGATTACCGAACGAGGCCGCGGAATGGGATGCATTGGCTGATCCGTAGGGAGCATTCATTTGATTCATTTGACTCATTTGGCCCATTGGTGGGTAGGGGCCGGAGGCGGCTCCCAGGCCAGAGGGAAGTGCGTAGGTGCTGGGAGGACCTCCAAACTGTTGTCCAAAGGCACCGAAGCCACCTGCACTAGAAGCGAATGGGCCTGGGCCTGGGGTGCTGGCAATAGATGCCGGACCCATTCCAAACCCAGATGGAGGATCCATTGGCGAAGGGAAAGCAGAGTCCGCAACTACCGCAGCACCAGAGCGAGGACCACCGCAGCGAAGGCAGTTGATATTCTTGGCAAAATTATGGTAGCCACAGCCCTCAGCACCGCACTTCCAGTCACCAGCTCGGAACGGAACTACACCACCATTTCCGCCCATGCCTCGTGAGTGTCCATGACCTCCATGGTGTCCCATATGGTGTGGCGGGGGCATCATCGATGGAGGACCATAGCCATAGCCTCCATAACCCATTGGGTCTGGGGCAGTTCCGACAGCCGGGAAAGAGCAGCGGAAGCATGCCGTACGGCGCTGGAAGTTGGAAAATCCGCAGGATGGGCAAGTCCAATCGCCCGGGCGAGGACGATTCTTACTAGGAGGGAACGGAGTAAGGATTTCGGCAGCGTGGTCCAGAACACGGCTAGAGGAAGGAGATACTTCGATGGCCTTGTCGTTCAGAGCACGCCCATTCATGCAGAGACTTTCCGCAGCCTAAGTACAAGCATAATTTAGTTAAAAGTTGTATAAAGTATATATATATATATATATATAAAAGACATGGAAAATAGATGTAGATACATACTTCTTCGTGAGACGAGAAAACAGCAAATCCAGTGCCAGTAGGTTTGTGCTGGTCAGGGGTTCTCAGAGTCCAAAAGGCAATTGGACGACCTCCGAACTGGGTATACCAACTCTCTAGCTCGGACTGGGTGGTGTCGTGCGGTAGACCGCTCATGTGAAGAACTTTACTGCGTTCGGCCAAGAAAGCGCGGACGTCAGCTCGAGCGTCCATTGGGCGGGTGAGAATCTCCGGGTGTTCGTGGGCAGGTTGTGATTTTCTGATCAATCCATGGAGGACTCGGGCCAGAGTAATTGCTTCCTCCATAGCACGCCTTGGAGATGCAGGGGCCAGAGCCTGCAGATGGAAGGGGAGATTGTGTTTGATGGGAGCGGATGACTGCATGGGCTCGACCTCGAGAGCAGCACATATGTTTGCTAGGTCACTGGGACCGAATGGGAGAGACTCGGGGTGGTGTTGCTGCCATCGCTGGTATTCCGTCCGCAGGTCGAAGGTACGCGAGTGCTGGAGGTATGGGGGTAGGACAACCGCCTTGTCTCGGGCTTCGCGAGGGAGTTGGACACGCATGTCCCAAGAATCCAATGTTACGAAAGAGAACTCGAGGTTCTTGGAGAGGAGATGCTCCTGGGCGAAGGCATCAAACTGGTTGATGGCGTCCCGGAATGTTCCTGCTGAGCGGACATGTTCCCAGGTGAGGGTAGTCAAGCTCGCTGAGCGCGGCCGTCAGCCAGTTGTCCACAGCAATACAGGGAGAGGGATCTCCCAATATCCGGGTCGAGATAACGGGCCACACTTACTGCAGAGGGGGGTAATTGGGGTATTAACTGGTTTAACTAGGACGCTCTCGCGATGCAACTAATTTAAAGGGGGGGAAAGTTAACTGACAACTATATCTTAAGATCAAACCACAACCTTCACCTGCAAGAAAAAGAGGGTTGCCAGCAGCCAATATATAGTACACAAAAAACTTAAAAACGAATGAAAACACCCAGCACAGATTCTTGCTTTTATTTTCTTCTCCCTGTACTCCAGAATGGAACAGGACTCACCTCCTTGCAGTTTTCAGAGTCCAGCAATATCCAGCCCAATTCGATGACCTCTGCCGAGTCCTTGGTGACATACACGCCATGTTCATCGCAGGTGGTAGCAACGTGGATAACGACATAGCGGTCCAGTTTCGGGGAGGGCGCGTGAATAGCAGCCATCTCTGATAGTCGACTTGACGGATTGACTGGGGAGGGAGCAAGGGGGGGGGGGGGGGGGGGGGAACTACAAAAAAAAAAAACGGGTTGGGGGGGAAAAAAACCCCCGGGGAAAACAGAAAAAAAAAAATGAGAAAAAGCACATATATATTTAATGTTAAATAGGAAGTAGATAAAATATCTATCTTATAAGTGCGCATACACTCTATAAAAGAGCCGGGGGGGGGGGGGGGGTGGAAGGATTGGGGGAGATTTCTGGCTGGGAGAGAGAACCGACGGAGGACAGGAGAGGAGACAAGGCGAGTAAATTGCTCTTGGCAGGGAGGGAGCCAGGAGAGGGATGAATGTCAGTCCACCACACACATACACGCACTCGACACAGAGACACAGGCGGGGAGGGAGGAGAGAAAAGAGTGAAAAGGGGAAAAGGGAGAAGGGAGAGACGACGATGAGCAGAGAATAGACGGCGGTGGTGGAGATGTTTGAGTGAGGTGGAAAGTTAAGGCGTTGTGCTTGGAGCCAAGTCTTTTGCTGTTTTGGGCCACGTTTTATTTTTTTGGATTTATTTTTTATTTTTTATTTTTTTGTTTTTCAGTGCTACTTTTCTATTTCCAAAGAAGAATATTTACTTCACATCAACCAATGTATTTACTATTTACAGTATTCTACTCCATGAGAGCTGCAATCAGATAATATAATATATTTCTCTCCTATTCCGGAGCAGGTTTTGTTTTAAGTTGGAAGCTCCCACATAATCCACGTTAGCTATCCACGGTCCTACTACTACTATGCTACTTATCCCCAAGCTTCACGGCCTATTATTAACAATTCACAAGGAAAAAGGCTATCTGCCGCAGGAACCGGGTGGTGCTCTTACGCTTAACTTAACGAGGCACAGCACATACTATACGGAGTACTATGTGTACATGTACAGTACATAAAAGCGCGTCTTAGTTAGCTATGCGGCAGTCACTCGCGTGGGATCCCTCCTTATGATTCGCGCCGTGCATTGATGAGAGAACGTTGCGAAAAATTAAAGCAAACGAAGAAAAACCAAGGGAGCAAAGAGAAGGGAAAAAAGGCTGCGTTCAGGCTTTTTGCTCGAGAAGTTGCCTAGCAGATGCTAGCAGTGCTGACTGATGAGACGTTGCAAGCAGTTCGATGGTGGGGGGTTGTTGGTTGCCCTCGATCACACCCGCCAAGGAGGCCTGAGTTCGACCGTCGGCTGCTGCCATATTTTTGGAGGGGGGAGGGAGGGAATGAAGGATACCCGGCTCGATGTCCAGACCACGCCATGTGTTGTCTGTCATCCATGTGTGAATCGATTCTTCCGTTAGTAAACGCATACAGCTAAAAAGGAAAGCAAAAGAGGAAATAGGAAAACGGGGGAAACTGGAAGAAACAAAATGGATATAAACTGCCACACATCTATCATCACAAACTTACTTTAACAGCTCAATGCGTGAAGATTCCCTCAACATCCTAAACTCGAAAAAATCACATATCGGGGCTACACCCAGCCACATGCTTCCGCTCATACCCGTTCTCTTCTGCATCCATGAACGGCCCTGATTCCTGATTCCCCTAGTCTCTGACCAGGATGAACAGGTCCTTCTAACCGTCCACACCCCTGCCACCCTTCGCTTGCTGCCATGCACCAATTTCCGGGCGCTTCCATCATTTCCAGGGTATATCGATTGACTTGTGCTGCTGGATGGAAGAGGATAGATATGGTATCAAAGCCTGCTAGCAGGTCATGAATTTTGAGTAAATTCCTTTGATATTAGAGAATGAAAGCGAAAGAAAAAAAGAAGAAAAAAAAAAAAACCCCTTTCTCTCAACAATGAAGTGCAGCGCCAGCCCCTGAACTATATATACACGTGCATGGAAAAAAGCCGTGACCCCAGGAAGTTTTTCCTTATCCAACTTGCCTAACCACCCTGGCCACTAAAAAGAAAAAAAAACCAAACCTGGATCAAGGATCATTCTCGAAAACGATAAAAAGGAAATAAAAAAAGGAAATAAATAAATATATAAATAACTAAAAAGTCCGGTTTCATAGGATGGTTTATTCCCCGCACTCAACATGGCCGCCCCCCCCTCCTCCGTTTTCGCTCCGGCTTTCCTCAAGATTTCCCACCAGCTCTGACATGAATATACATGTACATGTACAAATACCAACCAGAAGGGAAAAAAGGAGTAGATGCGGAGTCAAGGGTCTATGGATTGTAATCTCGAGATATATATAAAATATTTATATACCATCCTCCGCGCAAGTTTCATCATCACCATCGTCATCATCTTCACGCTATATATATACATGTACAGGAGTCCAGCCTCCATCCCCGTCGATACCAAACCGGGAGTTAAGACCGGGAGGGAGGCACAAAGGATACATACCTAGATATTCCCTATATATAGTTACATCTCTAACTATAACAAACATTTATTAATGATGGACTCGGCGTCGAAAACATCATTTCCCGTCTCTCGTGTAAAAGGGTCCTGGTCAGTTTCAGTTTACGGGAGGAGCAGGCGGGGGGCGGCGGGGGAGGTCAAGACGTGTGGCCTGGCGAACCTGGAGCCTTCACAACCTATCTTTCTCTGCTCCGCTACTATTAATAAATAAAAGTCAAGTTGTAAACGCGGTGCTAAGCTGTATCATCCACATTGAAAAACAATAAAAATAACTCTAAGGGCGCACATAAGATATAAAATGATCAAGATGTACAGGATGAAAGTAAACAAATATATATATATCAATTCGTATTGTTCATATTTCAGAGAAGATATATATATTCTCTCTCTATCTCATCTACATACCTTCACTTCTCTTTTCCATCCATAATCATTTTTGGACACATTCTGAGCGATACCAAGAAACCCAAATATGAAACGAAACGAGGAAATAAACGTGCGAAAAGGGGAATCTGTAGAACGGTAGAATGTGTAGAGAAAAATGGAGAGAAAAAGAAGAAGAAATGAATGGGTAAAATGAATAGGTAAATAAGTAAAAAGAGTAAAAGATAAATCAGTTGAGAGGAAATATAGCCTCCCAAGAAGACAAAGAAAGGAGGGTGGGGGGGGGGGGGGTCACGTTATCGCAAAAATCCAAACTCCAAAAGGCGCGATCTGATTGAATGATGAAAGGAAGCTTTAGAAGAAATATATAAAAAAATAAAAAATAAAAAATAAAAAACAAGGGACAACCAGGTCCCTAGATATAAAAGAACAGATAAATAAAGGAAAAACGTGGGGGGAATATAAAACCAGAAAAACAAAGAGAAAACAAACCCCTCTCTCCTCAGTGTTATCTCCTTCCCACCTCATGCACTCATGCACATTATTCCATGTTTTCAACCAGGCCAAGTTAAAGCCAACCGAAACTCGATCCAGCTCAACGTACAGAGTATCATAATCCAAGAAAAAGGAAAAATAATAAGGCAAGGAATGGGTTTATAAAAGAAAGAGTAAAGTAAAAAAAATAAAAATAAAAAAGTGAGTTGGAGAAAAAAAGGAGAAAATCCGAAACAGATTGGGAAAAACGCTAACAATCCAGCCCCCACCTTGCGCTTCGCGGGGCAATCACCGCCAGAGATCCCCTTTACTCCCCTCCCGCCGGTGATGACGATGCATCCACGCCCCGCCACTACTCTTCGGCCTCTCCTCTTCCCCAGGAAGCGCCAGGAACCCACCAACCCCATTCCCAACCAGCACACTCCTGCGCGCCTCGTCACCCCAGGCCGGACTCAGCTGTGCACCATGGAAACTCACGGGGCGTGATGAGCTGCCACGTCGTCGTCGGCCGCCAGCGCCGCCCGCGCCCGGAATATCCAGCGGTTCGTACGCGGTGAAGTTCCACTCTACCTCGTTGGCGCCCTTGCTGTAGACGGACATGGCCTGGTTGAGGCCCTTGGGTGGGCCGCCGCCGTTAGGGGCCCCAAGCTGCGGTAGGGAGGCGTACATGAGCATTTCTGGGAACTTGGCGTCGCGGACGTAGAGGTCTAGGAGGCCTGGGAGGGAGCCGGAAAGGAGGGAGGACATGAGGTATTTGTAGTAGTAGGCGGCGTGGTTTTCGGTCCTGGCTGTGATTTCATAATGGAGGAGGCGGAGGGAACGGGAGGCGAGCGGGGGGACGTTATCCTGGATGAAACCTTCGGAGATGTACTGGGTGACGGAGAGGCTGTGGATTTGGGGGGAGTTGTTGAGGATGTGGTGGAGGCAGCCTGGCGTGATGCCGGTGTTGGACAGGGTGAGGTGCTTCAGGGCCTGTTTGTTGTGGTTGGTGCTGAAGTAGTTCATGAATGCGCGGTCGGTGATTCCAGGGGTATTGTTGAGGGTGAGGCGCTCAATGGGTAGGAAGGGTCTTAGGGAAGGCGAATTCTTGAATAAGACCGGTTCGATCTCGTTTAATTCCTCCAGCTTCAGGTCCGTTAAGCGTGGGAATTGAACCAGGACGGTCCGGAGTATGTCAATGGAAACGCTCAGGCCAGAAAGCTCCAATACCTCGAGGTTTGGCCAGACTTTGATCTGTGGCCGGGGCGGCTGACGCGGTTGGCGGCTTTGCAGAAACGGATCCCCATTGTCCATCTCATCCGGTGGCTGAATGGCAGCGAAACTTTTCTCTGAACCCCTGGTATACTTCATCCGTCGAATATCTGGACACCGGGCGATCAAGGTTTGCTTGAGGATGAGCGTTGACTCATCATCGCAGTAAAAACCCGCAGGCAAGTCCACATATCGTAGGTTCGGTAGCATAAGTACAGTCTGCGCCAGCAATAGCTTACCGGCCTCTCGAGTCATATAGGGCATCCGTAACGAGAGCACGAGTTTTCCTATGCGCTGAGATTCGCGCACTGACCTGCTGAATAGCGTCAACCGCGTCATGGGCGCATCCAGTGGCTCCGAGTTGTGGTCGAGGAACGAGTTCTTCTTCCGTTTGGCAGACAATTCATACTCGAGCTCGCAATAATGCACGGCATCGATACGGACATTTTGGTATCTATAGCACCAGGACAGGAATGGTTAGTACGGGTACTGCATACCCTTCCTTAAAGAAAAGAAAAGGATAGGATAGGGAGTATAGATATATATCTATGGAGAGGACATACAGGAGACGATGAGCGGGAGGATACCATTTCCTGCAGACCACTGCGCAGTGGGCAAGGTCCCGCATGTCACAGAGCATGCAGACATCGTCTGTCATGGACTCCTCAGAGGAGTTGTAAGTATCGTCCAGGACATGGAGGCAGACGTAGGAAAAGATCCTAGAGAGAATCTCGGGCGGGAGGTTTCGCGTGTAGTCTATGGCTGGGCCGTAGCTGGAGCCGGAGTGCTGAGGGCTTTGGTGGTTGTAGTGACCATTGCTGTACTTCTCGTGCTGCTCATAGCCGTAGTGGTCCACACTTTTCCTCTTCCCCTTGGAACGGAAGTGCTTGAACAGCTTCATGTTTTTTTATTTTTTTATTTTTATTTTTTATTTATTCTTTCAAAGTTATTCCCTTCCTTTGTGCTAGATTGGAAGTGTGGGTGTTGAATGCGAGATCAAAGAGGAGAGAGGGGGGAAGGAAGCGAGGGAGAAGCCGGTGATAATCGATGGCGTACGTAGCGTAGGGGGGAGCCAATGCTAGTACCGGTGCCGATATTATTACTAAATAGTCTACATCGGGCGGGATGTGAATGTGAAACAGAGGCGGGCTCGGGGGGAGGGGAGGAGAGAGAGGATATGGGCTATAGCGGGCGTTGGAGCGAGTTGGTAGATCGTCGGGGGATGTGACGCTGAGCAAAGCCTAGGAGAAAGAGGCGGACTGATGCTCGACACTGGTTGGTGGAGTTGGGAGGAGGGTGTTGGCTGGAGGGTGAAGCTGAGGATTTTTGCAGAGGTAGGTTGAGGTAGGTTGAGGTGGAGGAGGTTGGAGGATGAGTGAGTGAGTGCAGCAGTTGGAAGATGAAAGGTGGAGGATGTTTGCTGCTGTTGGTGATCCATCTAACTATCTATCTATCAATGGTTGGTTGATTGATTGATTGATTGATTCGTCTTTCACCAGCACATTGTACGCAAATAATAATAATAATAATAATAAATAACAATATCACACAACTACAAAATGGCACGAAATTCTTCTTTGGCATGTATAACTAATGACTCCCTGTTAAAGCTGTGAAATAGTACAGATTAGTTACTATTAATATCCCCCCATGAATTCGATATTTGCTGGCTGCATTAGTCGCCCCTCTTCACCTTGCGTGCCAAGTTGTCCTCGGCTATATCCCATGCTTAACTCGAGCAAGATATCATGTCCGATATGGCTATATCCACTATGTACTGTACAGTATACGCCCTGGGGCCCTGGAAGAAATAATAAACCCACACGCTGCATCCAAACCCCAGCACTGCGAACACGCTACTGACACGCCTAACAACCAGACTAGAAGCACTTTCTCCTCTCTTCTCTTGTTCCAGCCCGCTCATTCGACCATACGCCGTGTGCATCCCTCTTACGGGTCTTGGGCCTCTTCTCCCCCT